TGGCACTCATCAAATATACGCTCCGCTTCGGTGGGTTCTGGGTCGACATAGACCCCCAGAGGTTCGATCCCCAGATCCTTGTCTACCTCATCCGGAGTGGAGCTGGTCTGTCCCTCATCCGGAACCCGGTCGGCGAAACCTTCCCGGAATCCTTGAGCATACCTAAGAGCACCGACCCTTGAGAACCGGGCGTGAAGGGCCAGCATCCCACCACCCACTCTGCTGATCGCGTCGATCAGAGCGGTACGCTCGTCCAGAGCTCTTCTTTCAAAGGCCATCCGAGCAGATTGTTCATCAGCTAGAAGGCGCTGGAGTTCTGCCTTCTCTTCTCTAATAGATTCCCGCTCGGTCTGCCAGACGCTCTTCTCAAGCTGGAGGGCGTCCTTCTCATCCTGAAGGGAATCATTCTCCTTCTTCAGGACATCTCTTTCCTGCTCGGTTTTGTCAAGCCGAGCCAGTACCTCGGTATTCTTCATGGCGAGGAGGTCGTTTTCCTTATTAGCCACCTCCAGGCTGTCAGAAAACTTACGGGCCCTGGCGTTCCCCATCTCCACCTGCTTCTGCATGGCCATCATGCCGAACAATGTCTGCATAGGTGCACATTAAAAACGGTTAAGCCAATAGTCAGGACGGGCGAAGGCAAGACCAAATAATATGAGAAAATGCATGAGTTAGAAAATAAAAGTCACCTCCATAGCAGATTGAGGAAAGCGGCTGAACACATCCTTCTGGGAAAGACCTTTTGCCGCCTCAAGGTCCTTCGGAGTCCACATGCTCCTGTAGTAGGCCATAGCGGTCTGGCCATCCCTCAGCATGGTCTTGTTCGGTTTCACGAACGTCCCATCCGTTCGGGTGTACCGAGGGGCCCATGGCGGTAAGGTGGGGATAGAAGAGGGGCCTGAAGCAGAAGCAGAGCCACCAGCTGCAGCAGGCCCAGAGGGAGCAGGAGCTCTGACCGCTCGGTGCAAGAGAGCACCCGGCCCGGAGATCCGGGTCCTTCTAATGAGAGGCTCCTCCTCAGGATCGACTTCACTATCAGGATGAGGCCTTTTGCCTCGCTCTTTGTCCCGACCGCCCCCCGTAGCAGCAGGAGCTATGGTAGCTGGGGGGGACGCGTTCTGGTTGGCAGCAGGGGCGCTGACAACAGGGTTAATAGCCACTGCGCTCGGGACAGTGTCCGATATGGTGGCTGAGGAGGAAGCTGACGCCGGAGAGGAGGTCGCCCCAGCAGCAGGGGTGGCTGGGGGAGTATTCTTCCTCCTGCCAAAAGAAGGAATCTGAAGTCTGCTCATGTTGTAGCCGAGTGATGAGAGCGCTAAGAGGTTGTCTGAAGTGAGGAGATCTGAGCAGGAAGGAATATCGTTCAGAACGTATTTCTTCAAGTAGTTACTCCTATCCCTGCAAACACTATAGCTCAAGTCATCACAAGGTATTCCCAAGGAACGGCATAAGAAAGTGCAAAAACGAGGAACGCATGTTTCGCAGGGGCAGTCATGTTTATGGGATTTGAATTTTTTATAGGAGGAGACAGAGCAGACACCAAAGGCGCTCGGGATTGGGTAATCCTCTGCAGCCGGCGAAGACCAAGCCCCACTAATGCCCACTATGCTATCCCTCCAACCCTTTTCAGATTTTATTGTGTCAGTACATATGGACATCTTCTCGAACGGGTAGAGGTGGTAGAAGGGCTCGTTAGTACGGATCTTACTCACCTTATAGTACAGAAGGAGGTCTATGAGGTCGAGGTCCAGATTTCTGTCACGCATCAACAAGAGCATAACAGATATGATTCTAAAGAAGTTGGGGTTGACCTGCAGAGGGGATATCCCCAATCTATTGAAGACATAACTAAAGAAAGGGTGCAGAGGGAACCTAACAACATTCAATTGAAGGTTCGTGAATAAGATTTCGCCGGGCAGGAGGCCGGCGCCGGTCGTAATGTTAACGTCTTGGGGGCAAACCCTAACTTCGATGTTGTCAAGAAGTCTAAGTCTCATACGAAGAACATCCAGATCTACAACCATGGTGGAAGTGCTAGAAGAATCTACAAGAGGGTAAATGGAAGCCTGCCGAAAGTAAAAAGAACGAAACTAACCTCGGAGGACTGCAAGATCGCTGGAAGAATGACTCTTGAAGGATTTCACCAGAGAAAGCTTAGCACTGTTCTAGAAAAGAGAGAGACTTGGCTGATGATGGAGACGGTAAAGGGAAGTGAAGTGGAATTCTAGAGCATTATAAAGGCGAGGGGGCCCGAGGGCCGAAGCGTCGGGAAGGCGAGAAATCCCTCGAGCCCCGGAACATTGATTCTGGATCTGACCGTCCGCTCCCCCACGTGGTTATCTCGAGCCGTCAACATCATGATGAGACGCCATCAATAATTACCCCTTATTAAATAAGGGGCAATTATGGGGGCAGTTGAGGAGGCCCCGGATGACATGGGCCAGATCCGACTCGCAAACACAACATTCAGTCCGTACAGCTGGGCCAGCCCATAGAAGGACACTGCCATATGGGCCGAACGAGAGTAAGCCCATCAAAGGTGACCAAGGCTTACGGAGGAATAGGCCCAGATCCAGCAATCAGTAAATATCTTGTAAATATCTTGTAAATATCTATAAATAGGAGATGGAATGAAATGGAGGGGAATCTTTTTGGGTTGAGGTGTAAGAGTTCTAGAGAGAGAAAGAGGAGAAGGAATTTCTTGCATCTTCAGTAATCTAATTTTTTCCTAAGAAAATATCTTAATGTAGTATTAGATCATAATCATCAGATACTAATTATTATTTTTTTTTTCCTCTCATTGACAACAAATTTACAGACACCATTTACATACTCACTTTATTCATTTAGAGACTTAAACCACCACTATCCACCACTATCCACTTTACAAAAATAGAAGCCATAGCACTAGCCACAAAGAAGATGAATATACAATAATATACATTAATGTTGGCATCATTAAGCAATAAAAGTTACTCCGTATTTTGAGAATTGATTACACGACACTACATTTGTACAAACAAAGATTACATATATCTTGCTGTCACCTACTTTTTTTTTCTTTAGTGTGTGAGGGTGTCAGTCTATTTTATGTTCTTGTCAGTCGACCTGTCCTGGCATGTCTTTCTTTCTTTGTTTTTGTTGTGCAAAAATTCATTGGCTTATCACTCTCTCTTCTTTTTCAGTCTCTGGCTATCTGATGTTCCAAGGCTTTTAAGTACACACTGGTCCATTTGGTGTTATAAAGAGAGAGCGCGAATGGATCTTTTTAAACTTGTGGACACTATGCAATCTCACTGGATCAATACACAGCGCACAACATTTCAGGTTTTCTCACTCTACATCTACAACTAGAGTATATATCTATATATGTATGTATGTATGTATGTATGTATTTAACACACGCATACATACAGAAAACAAAATTATACAGAGTAGTTTTATAAGCTTTACTAAAACACAATGTGAGGCCTAAAGATTTAAATGATGCAAGTTCAAAGTGATGGGCTGGTGAGTTGATTCCTCGTACACACCACCACCTATTCAACCATCCGCCACCATCACCACCTCATCCCACCGCCACTAATCACCACCTCCACAATTCTCTCCTCTCTTCTGTCAGTACATTGCCACCCCACCACCTACCTTGTTCTCTGTCCACCCATCTACAAACACCATCTCCTTCCCGCAAAATTGATAAATATTGAATGCCCTCGGTTTGATTTTTAAGTTTACCCCATTCAGAGCGTGCACTTATGCCATGTTTGACAATACCGCACTTTGAATCAGTACCTAATCCTTTTGACGGTACCGAATCTGTACTTTGAATCAATACCGAGTACTAAATCCGTTTGACAATACCAAATCCGCACTTTGAATCAATACCGAATTCGTACTTTGAATTTAAAATTTGAACCAAACATAAGTGCATGCTCTGTTGGTGGGATGACGGTGAACGGATACGCCGGGGGGCGGGTGGTAAGAGAATCGAGGAGGAGGTCATTAGATTATTTTTGAATGATTTTTGACCATCTGGTTCAAAATTTGTTAAATTAGTTTTCATTATTGGCATAGAAAAGAGATAGCTAGGGGCTTGGGTTGCATATGCCATTCAACAATTTTGTTATATGGTCTACCCTATTCTCCAATTATCACATTTGTGTGTGCACCAAATATTGAGTTTCGTTGATTTGAGGTTGTCGGATCAACCAGCAAAAAATGGCAAGGAATATAGCGTGTGATATAACTAGTGTAATGCAACAGTCCTATAGAGCTGCCACATTGACTCACTAAGTCAACATTCACAATTTGAAGATTATATAACACATACACTATACATATATTGATTTCCCTCAACAATCTTGCTCTCAAATCTGTGCATCTCTTGTTTCAAATCTGTATAGATTGGTTGCATTGCTTTTAGAGAGATGCAATGTATAAGAAGAGAGAAAAGGAGAGACGTGGCGGGGGTGGGGGTGGGGGTGGTGGCGGCCAGGAGAGAGAGAGAGAGAGCTTAAGGGTACTGTAGAATCACAAGTCATGAAGCTCAAACACCACATCACTAGAGGAAATTATTGAACAGTTATTAGTTTGGAACGGCCAGCATGACAATAGAGAGGGAAAAAGCAATCTTTAAAGCAAATGGAAGACTCACGGTACCGCGAAAATAGCCCAGAGAACAGAAATACCAAATTGACAAGTTGTAAAGAAAGGAGGGTATAACAGGCAATTATTGACTCACTTCACTTCCAGCTGAGAATAAAAGAACAAAGGATGTGCGCATATTATTAAAGAGAAGTGATAAGTCTTCCGATCTCAATTGGCGACTCATTCTCCGAATACAATGTGGTGGGGAATGAGTCCAAAAGAAAGAGATGTTTACGGAATTTTGTTTTAAGAGTTCTAATGTGATCCAACCACGTTGTATTCGGAAAATAAATAGGCAATTCAAATCAGAGGACCATCATTTCTCATTATTAAAAGTACTAATATAGCCAAGGTGCATTATAACATGAAAATTTATTTCCTTGAAAGGACAACAATAACTGGGAGCCTAGAAGACAAATTTGTTGCTGAACAAACACAAATCAGAAGCACAAACATGCAAAAGTCTGCAAATAGTATACACGGCAACCATGCCAAAAACAAATACAACTCTAGATAGAGACACATAATTGTAACAAGAGTTTAATCTCTTTATTAATCAATAACGGCTATCAGATAGCTCAGCCAAGCGTAAAATAGATGGCATTCGAGCTCTTGAGACTCTATACCTCTAAAGATCTCATTTCCCCACTTCAACTGGCACTGGAAACTATATAAAGCATCCATTAAGATGAATGTAAATTGATGAGTAGCATATACAGCATGTACCTGCTATGTCCATTCGCAAGACTCGGAGGAGTTCAATCCCAGAGTAATCTCTCAAGAAAGCCTCAATGCTGCTGCGTCTTCTTCATCCATTGTCCATACGAAACCAGGCATGTCAAGCCTTGGACCCGCAACTGTCCTATATATATAAAGCTTCTCAACAGGACAGCTTTCGGGCCTCAAATCCGGTGGTCCCCTCTCGTCTATAACTTCAACATTTAACCTAGGCATTTTTTGACTGAGCAGTTTACATGCTCCGAAACTTACCAAGCAAGAAGACATCCAAAGGGATCGCATTGTCTCCAGCTTTGCAGCATTGGCTAAGAGAGCCTTGTCCCCAAAGGGGCAGTCCCTAATCTCCAGTTTCCGCAGGCTCTCACACCCCGACAACACATGATGGAGGCCCAAATCACTATCCCCAGCAAAGGCTACTGAAAGCATCTCTAGCTTCTTAGCACGGGTCCCAATGTACTCAAACACACTATCAGTGAGGAGGCCAGATAAGGAAAGACGCCGCAGTTCCTTGCAGTGCTCAACAATGGCCCCAAAACCAACATCCAGCGGTTCAAGGGTTAGATAATCGGGAGCACGAGGCTCAATAATGCAGAGACGGAAACGGGTCAGGTTTGGACGGTTCCTAGCAATGGTAGCTAATGCAGCGTTAGACATCTGACGGCAGAAGTATAAAACTGACTGGAGCTTAGGGCAGCCCTCAGAAACTGAGACAAGGCCATGTTCCGTCAAGGATACATTTGGTTCAACGCCATAAGGGTCAGAAGGGAACACCCTCAGTTCTTGCAGATCCTTACAAGACACAGCAAGAGCATCAAGTCCACTGTCTTCAATGTAATCCAGTACCTGCAGTCATGTTCTTTAATTAGTTCAAGAATGTATTGCACTGAGAAGGACCCTGTCTCGAGGACATGAAACAAAGAAAATAATTAATTAATAATTGCAGGATGTTGTGTGTGGAAGAAAACAAGAAATATGGGTCTCAGTGAGAGATTTTAGATGACAAAACCCATTGTAAAAAGGTGTTACTGAATCTTGAAATTAAAGTTGGCCTTCTTTTACAAAATTCTAAGAAAACGTTACAAAAATAGGTGGCCTTAAATCATCTAACCATCCAATTTTTAGCAACTCTATATTATGATCGCTCATTTCTTGCAATTAACAAGTAGTGAAATGTATCAAAAAAACACTGTGCACTAGAAATAGCACGTTGACAAGACATACAAATAAAGAGAGATTCAATAAAAAAGCTATCTGAAAGATAGGGTGTACCCATAGACGCTGCAGATTATGACACTGACTAACAAGCTTGATAAGATCAGGACTTTGGATAGTGGCATAGCTTAAGTTCAAAGAAGTTAGCCCAGAGCAGATAGAATAGATTGCTGGAAGATAGGCTGGAACCACATCCCAAAAGCCAGACAAGCCATTGAGCTGTGTGCAGCCGGAAAAAGCTCCTGCTAAGTTTGAGAAAACATCAGTCCGGATCTCAGCTGAGTAAGCACCCGTACCTAACTCAACCAACTGGGAGGCACGGTGAAGTAGGTTGGGGAGTCTCTCGAGGGGTACAGCACGATTGAGCCGGAGAGTCCTCAGGTTGGGACACCGAGACACCAGACGTTCCAGGGCAGAGAAGCTCACCTCAGAGCATAAGCAAGCAATGTTAAGGGATACCAGTGATGTGAATGTATCAGGGAAATGGCTAAGCCAATGCCCACTCAGATCATCCACTTCACTTTCTTGCAAGTCAAGTTCTCTCAGATTCCTGCAGCAGTAGACATCAGGTCACTTTTACATGGAGAAGTCGCCAAAAATGACGTGATTAAATAGCTAATATTTTTCACAGATACAGCAATTCAATAAACCAAGCAGTGAAGCAACGCATAGGAATAAACAAAGGGAACATAAGGTCCAAAAAGTTTCATCAATATGTTGGTGCCTTAAATCACCTAAGATGACCAGGCAATCCTTACCAAGAACAACTTTTTTTCTTTTTCTTTTTTATTAGGTAAGTACCCGCACACACATTTCACAACACATAGGAATAAAAAAAGGGAACATATGGTCCAAAAAGCTTCATCAATATGTTGGTGTCTTAAATCACCGAAGATGACTAGGCAATCCTTACCAAGAACTTCTTTTTTTCTTTTTCTTTTTTATTAGGTAAGCACTCACACACACATTTCACAAATTGCCCACTACGGGGCTCAAACCCCTCAGAGGAGAGGTTATAACATTGGGGCTAATTGCCAATAACCAATAACAAGTTTCATATAGAGGTAAATTACAAGAAAAGAAAGTCAATTTTTTCTCCATTTGTTTGATCCTTTTAAATAAGAATTTTCACTTAAAAGCACATATAACATTCAATCAAAACATTTAAACAAAAAAAAAAAATCCAAGGACCACTAGAACCTCTATCTAAAAGAAGCTTCAAGTAACAAAAAGGAATCTTCACAACCAAAAAGAAAAATCCATTCAAGCTATAATAATGGAAAGTAGGAAGAAAGACAAATTAACTGAGGAATCCATAAGGACCCACATTCAAACACTGAAAGCAACCTCAAACTAAGCACAGTTACCATTTGAATGACAAAGTTTCAGATACCATGACAACAAAGCAAAAAGGAAGGCATCTAAAATAATAAATAAACGTTCAGTCCCATGGATTCTCTGAAATACAGCAAGAAACTTAGTTGGGAAAGGTCCGGAAGAGGAAAAAACAAGACGACCCAAACACAGTATTTCGCGAAATAAATTAGAAGACAAAAAAATTGCAATCTAACTGGTTAAATTTTAACTACCTACGAATAGAAAGGGAAAGAAAGAAATATAAAGAAAGGAAATTTTTGTACACATTATAAGAAACCAACAAACAGGTAAGATAAGTGCTTAAATCCACTAACAAATAGTAAGCAAAGGGACCTGAAAAAATAAAAAATACAACATATAAATAAAAATCACCCACATTCAATGTATTAACAATCGGAGTCCTTTGAAAACCACGTTCGCATTTAAAATTCCTGATGAGGAACAAAAGCCCCAAATTTCAATTATAATCAACTTTAATTGCTAAGAAAGTGTACCCAAAATAAAAGAAAAAATTCCAACTCCTAATAAACCTTTCATCAAAGAAATCATCCAATAATCATAGCTAAAATATTATGTTATCCTACTTATCAAAGAAAAATTATGTTATCCCGCAACATAATCGACATAAAACACAAGATTCAAACTTTCTTTCCCACTCATTTCTTTCCTTTTCCTCAGGTTTGTCAGTTACCAAACAGATAGGAATGAAACAAGCATCAAAAATCAATAGCAAACCCACATTTCACAACATCAGCGGCAGCTCAAAATTAAACAACCCCAAGATTCAAACCTAATTTTTTCCCACTTTTCCTCAACTTAAATTCAAAACAAAAACTTTTTTGAAATATAAAAAATCAAAATTATATTTATGTAGATTCTAGATCTAAACTTTCTTCTCCTAAACTATCGAAGTAACCCAAGAGATATACAGTAAAACAGAGTAAGAAAAAGTAAAGCTCACCTGCAGTTAGCTGCAATGATGGCGAGTCCGTCAGTAGTGAAACCCTCACACGAAGACAAGACCAAGACCTTGAAGTTCCTGAACGATCGCGAGATCAACTCCAATGCCTCATCGGTCACCACCATCCGCTTGAGCTTAATCTCCTCCAACCACGGGTAAGCACTAGCCATGGCTTCGATCCAAGGGTACAAGTACCCTCCCCAACCCTCAGGCACCAGATTGTAGTCCGCAAAGTGCGGCTTTCCTTTGAGCTCCATAGATCTCACCTCCGGGAACCGTCTTATCACCATCGTAGGGCTCACCGCGTAGCAGTTCCCCACAAAGATCCGCCTCCTGCACCACCGCTCGATGTCGTACCACGACTTGCACACCAGAGACACAGCGTTTCGGTCCTTATCGCAGTGTACGAACGAGAACACGTGCTCTAACACCTCCTCAGGAAACGAGCACGCCATTGTAGACTATCTAGCTCAGCTCACACAGATCAATTTCCTCAAGAAATGAAGGTCAAAACAGTGTCTAGCAGTTATCACTCGAGTTTCGTAGTAGCTTCAGATCTGAAACGCCATTGACGAGCTTAGAACAAGGTCCTCTCAGTCGCAGAAGAGAGATAGAGGAGAGAAAAGAGTAGAGAGAGAGAGTGTGCGCGCGGAGGAAAGGATAAGGTTTATGTTGCCCTCGGTGAGGTTAGATTGTAACCAGAGTTATATAAAATCAAGTGGTGTGTCTATATGATTTATAACCAACGGTCCTGATTATGACACGTTTGCTTGTAAAATAGGTAGCCGTTGGATTGACGGTGGATCTTATCCGTTCGCGACGAAGCGCAACCGCAGAAAACCGGGGTGTGTATGTATGTGTGTGGTTTGGCCGCCGAGGCGAGAAAATGAGATATCGTGACATGATTGGGTTGAGAGAAAATGAAGAGAAATTGTGGTTGGAGTGTACTACTACGATGCTACTATTATATATCGAAATGGTGCAAGGAATCTCATGATTCTCAATGCACGGCTGGATCTGATGGATCGGACTGTGTGGGGACCACTCTTTGGCACACAGAGAGAGGGAGGAGCTTTGAGTAATGAAGAATGGTGTGATGTGGAAGTGTAAATTATGATTACATCATGACCGTCCAATCATCTGTGATTGGGTTTTACTCGGTCTTGTGTCATTTTGATGGTTATGTTGTAGTTTCATTGTTTGAAACATAGTTTTTTTCTTAACTTTGTCGTTAAATTGTAGTGGGTAGCATTGTTAAATGGTTATAATAATTATAGTTACAATTGATAATAGTTTTTGTTTTTATAGATAAATTTCATTTCCTTTGTGTACCTTTATCAATATTCTACACTGATTTCTTAAAAATTTTATAATTTCACTTACTTGTTAAGTAAGTGATTAGAAGGCCAATTTTGCCCTTTCAATACTTGAAATGATATTATTTTATGGACAAAATGGTAAGTAAAATTATGAAACTTAAAGAAAGTCTTTGTGAAATATTAACAAACTTCATGAAAGTATATGAAATTTATCCCACTTTTATATTTTTAGTCTACATGACCTCTTAAAATGTTTCATAATTCTCGTTACAAAGTAATTATCAAAAAAAAAAAAGTCTAAAATAACTACAAGAGGATTAATTGATAATTATTGATCCTACAATTACAGAGGTAATGTCATGATAGTATTTTTTCTTTCTTTTTTGAATCTCGATTTTCTCTCAAAATATTCTCCCATTTCACCAAATCAATGCTACCTTCGAAAATAGAATTACATTTCAGTTTTGAGGCACTATTTCAGTTTTGTTTATTAACAAAAAAAATGGAGCAACTATATATTTACAGAGAAAAACTTTTAATTGGGACAATTGTATTAGTAATATGGTATCATTACCAACTTATTAGACGCTGATACATTGTGACAGAACCTAAGTCACACAATCTTTCTCACGTTTCGAGCGAGCTCCACACAAGTTTTGATTAAAAATTTTACTATTTATGACTTAATTTTGTCGTTTTCACACCCACACTTTTTCTCCCTTTACGTGACTATCATGACATAGTAAAAAAAGAAGGAATTCAGTGTTGGCACCTAATTTCTCCCTTGACTACACAACCCAATAAGTTAATAACCCACTAAAATAAAGTACTTATTAGTTACATTTATGGATAATTTGGATAAGATGGTGTTTCACACTAATCCCATCATTTTCCACAACCAACAAACTCCATAATAACTGAATTTCAAGGAACATGCTCCATTTTTCATGATCCTTCATTATTGGTTCAATCAAATTAGAACCGTCTGATGAGAACCATCTAAAACACGCTACATGATATAGCATGTTGTGATGGGCAATAGTAAAAACAGTAGTTATAAAAGCTTGCTTTTGAAGTTTAAATAGTGTACTTCGCAAAGTAGGGCAATGGTGTCCCCACAATTTTAATTACCCTCAGTTGCACGTAGATAACATCACAGAGCCTCTGATTCCTTTTTCTTTCGAAATGACGAAAACACCCCTGACCAGACGACATATTACTCCGCTTTCCATGTTGAAGATAAAAAAGGGGGGTACCATTGTCAGACCATGAAAAGGACATGGTATTAACGGGATGGCACTGTCTGGGCATGGAGTCATAGAGATGTCCTTTTTATGTCGAAAGCTGATAGTTAAAAAAAACAACGGTTGAGATTTAAAGTTTATCGAGGGAAGATCTTGACTGTTGGTTTTCTCTTGCCTTTACCTCCAGTGGGCCGTACCCGTCCTTATCGATCGCAACCGCAAGGCTTTGTCTCTATTGGTACTTTTTGAGACCTTTAAATATGGAAAATTATAGAAAAATGATAGTACATTAAATGATTAAATTTAGGAATCCAAACTACTGATTATTTTATTTTTATTTTTTGGGGGAAGTTAAATTACTGATAAAAAATATAAATACAAAATAACTGATATTTCCGTAAGCATAGAAATGATAATATTATAACAAAGACTACACAAATTACATATATTTTCTAACTAAAAATAATCATCAACAACAACAATTAAATTAATAACAATGATTGATCGGTTATAGCTTGATTGGTTGAGAGGAGGCTAAATAAAAAAGAGTTCATAAATAATAGAGAAGTTCTCAAAAATATCACATATCTAATATTTTAGAGTATGAATCCACCTCTTGAAATTGAAATGTAATTGAAATAAATTTAGTTTAAATTAACACAAAGAAAAAGTCATCAATATCATCATTTGTGCCTTTTTCTCGTACGAATATAAATAGGGTGGGCCACGTGAATTCTTAGTCTCTAATCTTTTTCTATTTTACGTCATTTCGTCTACCCTATTTAACTTCTTGAAGTTAATTTTAATAACTTCATCCCATTTTATTTTTGATTGCTCTCTATGTTTCTTACTTTCTATGACAATTGGTCTTCCTCATTTGACTCGCACGTTCAGGGATGAAGACAATACGAGCCTCGGGGACACTTGTCGCTCTTGGGCCCATGCTGACCCATTACTATTTTTCACTTTTTATACCTCTAGTTTAGAAAGTTATATAAAATGACCCACTGAAGTTTTTTATTCTTTCAAAGCTACCCTTTTTCATTCTAGCCTATTAATTTTTTTGCATTTTATGCTTATAGTTTATTAAACTATACAAAATGACCCCCCTGATTTTTTTAATCTGAAAATCCATCTAATTCTTTCTTTCTTCTCCCCCCCCCCCCCCTCCCCCCGCGTCTTTTTCTTCATTTTTTTTATTCTCTTCAAAGAAAATTACACTTCAATCAAATCCTTATTTTTTTCTTTCTAAGTTTTCCCATATATATATATATATATATTTTACTAAAAAAATTAATTTATCATGTGTTAATATGCCCCCCTAAATCAAATTCTTGGCTCCGTCCCTAGGCTCATCACTAGGTCTCCGATGTATGTGTCTAACACAACAATAATATATTTTTGAATAATCAAATTCATTTTTTTTTCTTTTTTTGTTTATTTCCTTTTTATTTAGTTTTGATATTGTGTGTGTGGTTGTAGCCACGCACTGCCTACGTGGACAAAAGAAAAGTCAAACAATGAGCAAATACCATGTCAGCCAAAGATAAAAAAAAAACCCCAAATATTATTCCAGGTTAACAAGGCATCAAGAAACAACTTAGAAGCCACAAAAAGCCCTTAGGTTAAGCAAACCTTGAAGGACAATCCTCGAACCCCAAAAATTTTGAAATCTATCACGTCGAGCAAACCTCGAGGGACAATCCTCGAGTCCCAAAAAACCTGAGAACCCTCAGGTCAAGCAAACCTTAAGGGACAATCCTCAAGCTATTAAAAACCCTAAGAGCCCCAGGTCAAGCAAACCTCAAAACGTAACCCTTATGTCCCGAAAATCCTAAACCCTAAGATTCCTCAAGTCAAACAAACCTCGAAAGTAATCCTCGAGTCGAAATCCCTAAGAACCCCTTAGGTTAAGTGAACCTCGAAGGACAATCCTCGAGTGCCGAAAACCCCAAGATCTCTTTAGTCAAGAAAAACATCAAAGGACAATCCTTAAGTCCTAAAAACCTGAGAACCCTTCTGCTCAAGAAAAACTCAAAGGATAACATTCGAGTCCCAGAAACCATAAGGACCTTAGGTCAAGCAAACCTCGAAAGACTATCTCTTAGGTCGATCAAACATTTACAACCAAGCCTCAAAGTCCTAAGAAAACCTTAAGGCCCCCAAGCAAACTCCAATAAAAAAGTACTGATAGTGACGTGAGAACACGGGTAAGGTCCCTTGCACATCAAGTAGTTATTTATTGGGACACTTCGAAGGATTGTGGAGTCAGAACATACGTCGAACACATGACCTAACCAAAGAAATGTTGAAAAACATATCATTACAAAATCCCTTAGAATCACAATTAATGTTATAACCATACCAATAATGCTTAGCCACCACCGTTGCCAAACAAGTAAGTGCATTTAATGGAATATTAGTTATTTAATGCGTCGTTGTTGAATTCATAGCAGGACAAAAAGTAGACACCTTTTAGCTAAAACAAGAACATCTAGGAAATAATAACCTAAAGCCCTAAGATTGGATATACCTCAGTCGAAGGTCAAACCATTGGCTAATATCCAAGGAAACTAAAGTTATTAGTTCTAGTTAGTACCAATTGATGTTTGTTGGCTTAATGTCAAAACCTAGTGTAACAGAGCTATTAAGGGCTTATATGATCACCATTGACGTGCACAGTGGCTTATATCACCACACATAGGCAGTATAGTTTTTTTTTCATCTTGTGACACAATTTTAGAATGGTTTAAGATAGTATATTGCAGCTATTCAGCTTGTTCAGTCTATTTTCTGTGTTAACTAAGGTTCAGCATATGAAAATTAGCTACAGGGATTTTCAGGGGCACTATGGTCGTTTTACAGTTGTATTATATGTTTATACATATGTTCAGATAGCTGCATTACATTGAACAGCTGTGATTTAGCCTGCATTGTGAATTATACAGTCTCAGTAGCAGGTTTGGGCTGAGAATGACAAGTGGTTGTTACAAAGGTATTTGGTCTTTATACTTAAAGCTCAAGTATGTGACACATACTTTAGTCCTAGAGTGAGAGTGTATATACTTCATTCCATTTCTTAATCACCAAGTCTTGGATAAGAATGATATTATAGCTTTGATATTATGAGCTGTAATTTCTGGTATACTAGAGGACAAAACAGCTGAATTGGCAAAAGTATAATGGTCTATTCACATGAAAAATGTCAGAACATTCTTTGGCCAATGATTGGCTACAGGTACCATGTGTATATCCTTCTTATAGTAGGACTTGAATAGTATGCTTGAGTATATATATGTTATCATAACAATTTAGTTGAATTGAGCCTCTTAGAAAAACCTAATAGTGACCTGGATTGAACTATACTCGAGAGCTTCATATGAACCAACATTTCTAAGGTCCTTGGTGTGGAGAGGTCCTGTGCACCCAATAAAGTATGGCTAATTTTAAATCTAGAGATTACCACTACCACTTTTAACTAAAACCTAGTAAGAGTGAGTAGGGATCGTCCCAAGGGAAATGAGTCATGTTTTGGAATCAATTATTGGATTAGTAGGTGGAATGATCAAAAGAGAGATTGGATTTGATTAAACTAAGGTTCAATTAAAACAATGCAATTGTCAATTTAGAAATTAGAGAGAAAATAAATGAGAGAAAAGTCTTGGGGCTTAGAGTTCACCACTAAGCTTCACTTCACCAAACACTAGCAATTGTAAATTAATAAGGACATTTAAGTTGTAAAATGTATGTGTGTGTCACTAATTGAAAATTAAGCATGGATGGCAAATAAGCATAGATTGTTTAGTCAATCTAGTGAAAAGTATAACCTATCAAATGAGACTATAACCCATTCAATTAAACCACAATTAGAATACACACAAAAATCTAGAGAAATATACTCTTTTCATTTATTAGTATGGAACATCAAGAAACAAGAATTGATTGTCCACCTATCCAAAAAATTAAAGCAATTACACTACAACTAGGTTAGAGACATGAAAATTAAACTAATTAAACTAAGGATGTGGCATAATCCATAAAAAAAAACAAGTGTAAACTATCAAATAAATCACAAAAGTATTCAATTAAGCACTATGCTTTAACCATCACTAGATTAACAACATCAATACACATAGACATGCATTAATTTCATTAAGTTTAAAGAAAAACACATGAACATTCATTCTAGCATATATAGACATATGGATAGAAATAAATGATCAATTGAAAGCATTAATCCATACAAATTAAGTAGAAATCACAAGATCTATATTTATTCAAGGTCAAAACATTTATTACAACTAAAATCCCCAAAAATGTACAAAAGACTAGGTCTAGGAAGCAAACTTAGGGGTTATCTCTAGCCCCAAGTGAAGGATTTAGTCACTTATTGTAGTGGTCATGGAACCCTCAAAGGCTAGCTTGGAGGTTGGCATCATCATCTTTATCCTTGTTTTCTTCCCAAAACCCTAGTTCTAAAGAGAAAACTATAAAAATATCTACCTCTCTCTAAATTACAAGACAGATGTTCAATTAATTCATTACCTTGCCCTTTGAGTAGGCACCAAGTTAGAAATAGAGCCTATGATTATAGAAAATTCGTAGCTACACAAATTAAGTAAAATTCGGCGCACTCGAGAATTAAACAGCACACTGCCAGCAGGCAGTTTGATCAATCGAAGATCTTCGATCAATCAAACACTTAACTTCGATCGATCGAAGGTGACGTAGCATTAAAATATCTTCCAGGCCTTATCCACTTTGCTGAGCTGGCACCGCCTTAACTTCGATTGATCGGGATTCCCTTTAATCGATCGAAGTTCCTCTGAGACCATTTTCTTAGCTTCTTTCCAACTTTGCTCCTTAGCTCCAAAATTGGGCTAAATGGCTCTTGTTAGCCTGTTTGAACTTTATTCACTTGAAATAGGCAATAACACAAATAAGTACTTAAGACATGAAATTGAGATAGATGAATAGACTAAAATACCCTAGCTTAAGTGCTAAAATGCGTCACATTTGAGTACTTATCACACCCCTAAACTTAGATATTGCTAGTCCCTAACAATGAACTACAAGAAGAAAAAAAAATAAAAATAAATAACTAAGTAACTATGAACTAGAAAACAATAAAATGATAACACCACTTTCGTAGGGAATACGATTGCATTTAGCAGATGCAACAAACCTTTTAAACCCCTAGGTTACCCCTAGTGGACGAGTGAAGTCTCGTGAGGGTTTCCAGAAATGATACCCACAAACATTGAGTTTTTTTTCACAAGAGAGGAATCAATATACAATACAAGCATTAGGAGAAAACTACCTCAAGTATGCAATTTTTTAACCATTCCCAAACAATCTTCCAAAATTTCAACACCAAGCAAACAAATATGATCCTCCACACATCAAGATAATGATCATGCAAATCAAAATAACTCTAGAATCATTTTTAAGTGAACCGGCATCAAATATGTTGCTATCTAAGCCAACTAAAGAAATAATCACATTCGGCCTCAAACTAGCACACAAATCTAGTACCGATCATCAAAACAAAGAATTGACCTTTTTATTAAAGCTTTATTGAACTAGGTGCGTTTATTCTTTTCACTCGATTTTTTTTTTTTACTAACCTAAAGGATCAAAGATGGAAGCATGGTGCAATGTAGTGATCTATTAAGCTTTCTAGCGATCCATGAGGTCGAGCATTAGGTCCATGATTCTCAAACTAAATGGCTTTAGGGCATTAGGCGTTTAAACACCCATAAAGACTTACAAGCTCAAATCGACTAGGTTACAAATCAAAACTACCTCCATCTAATCATTTCCCACTTCTCACCTTTGGAAGAAGTCTTCACTTTTTTATTTGCTTTTTGCAAACTTGCTCTTTTTTTTTTATTTTTTTTATTTTTTAACCTAGAGTTTGGGCTCTTCACTTTTTGGCGCGAGAAATTCAATGCTTGATGAGGCTAAAATCCCAGCTACTCAATGAAAAGGAATTGTTAATCAACAAAGCATGTACCCCATAAATGAATGCTAGTGTGCACCTGTGCTAGTGTAGAATCCTAGAGTGAATTTTAAAACAATCACAAGATCAAGATGATGTGGACCACAAATACAAACAAGATATCAATCTTTCGAAAAATTTACTCCTAAATAGCATCCACAAGGCAGACATGGAGTATTGGACTCTCAAGTTAAGCAATTTTTAAATTTTAAGTATCATGGTTCTCAAAAGATCAAAATCATAGCCTAAAACTCTCAAATTATACCACGTGCATAAAAAGAAGTGCGACATATAAAATATACTAACACACCCCCAAACTTAATCTGTGCATTGTCTCAATGTGTAAAGAAGCAACAGATAATGGAAAGAGTATACCAAATGGGTGAAGCAAAGGGGACCCGGCAACGGAAGCTTAGCTTTGGAAGGCGTACCCCCAAACTTAGATTCTGAAAACCTGTCTGAAAATGGTCACACTAACAACTGTCAAAGCATATGCATCAATGATATAAATGAGAGGTGAAACTGAGAACTGCGCAACAAGCATGGTACCTAGCAATGTAAAGCATAGAATATCTAAAATTGATATAAAAAATCCCAAAGATCTATATATAGCAAATAAATCCAAGATCAGATATCGATAAATCAGTGTATCAGTGCAATGCAAGAAATAATATCCCAAAATATCCAAAACCCAGTGCAAGTGTTAAAATAAACAATAATATCTCAATAACAGCAGTGTATCAAATAGATAAGTAGGAGAGAGAGAAAATGTAGGATTATGGAATGGGATCCGGAGTCATCATATCCGTAATATGTTGGAGCATGGCAGACATCTCGGTGTTGTGGAGAGTGAGAGAATCTGTAAGGTCAGTCCGCAATGTACTAAGCTCACCTCTCACTACAACTACATTTGCTCGCAAGTCATCATGTCTCCTCAGCAACTCATCATATCACCTCACCAGATCGTCGTACCGCCTCATGACATCCTCATGCCGCCCGATTATATCAATTCTGAAAGTAATGATGTCCGTGTGCAGCTGAGTGACCTCTGATCTGTAGCCAGAATCAGTGCTGGTATATCGGGAACAAGTGTCGGTCTACGCTATCAGCCCTGTGGGAGGGACAAGAGAAAGGTCAGTCTGCTATGATAAAGAAGGGACATCTGGCTGTGTGTTAGATGATGAAGTGGTAATGTAACGTCTCTGCTTAGGAAGAGATCTATCTGCTGTATCATCCTTTGGAGCATCATCTGCTGCGACTGCCAGTGCTGCTGCTGTTACGCCTGTAGTCTTTTCATATCCCTGTTTGCCCTGTTCTTACAGCAAAAATTAAAAATCTTCGTCCACCTCGCCTATTCATATGCTCTCCTCGCTTTCTCTGCATGAGGCTCTAGAATCTCCTCGGGGTCAAACTGATAACCCTGGTCTAGTAGCAGGTGAGTAATCAAGTGGCCAAAAGGTAAAGGCCAAGTCTTTGCTCTAATACTGTGTGTGTGATATAGGTTCTTCCAAAACTTGTGCATGAGTTCCCAAATCAGTGCAAGGATAGAAATCCAATACCCTTGGTCTAAACAATATAAAGCCTAAAAGATCCCCTCTCACCGCTGAGTGCTATGGCCTGATAGAAATGCATTGAGGTGCAACACGGAGTTAAAGAACCAATATCGGGAATCAATCTCGACCCGGTTTGCAAAGGTGTGCCCCTCAAATACAGCATATGGAGATAATGTAGTGACCATGGTCAGCTCAGTGGGAAAAGGTGGAGCTGTAGGGTACAGAGGCTCCTAAGAATCATCAGCCTACGGAGAAGTGTTGGGGCATCGATTGGTAGCAACTATGGTTGAAATAGAAATATCGATTTCCTGGCTGTTAATGGTGGTATAGAGAAGAAGACGGTCATCCTCATCCATCCGAAGGTGCTAGTAGAACAGAGTAACTAATCGGGGATAGATGACTGTGTCTGCTAGTGTCATACTGGCATCACTTCCCCACTGCACAAGCTCATCATAGGACCACCTGGTCTAGTCCAAGGTAGAGAATAGATCTCTATCAAATCTGTACTCGGTCTCTCGCGTCTTACTGACGAAAGACTCAGCGAGGATGTGACGGCCCAAGTTTTGTAAACCCGGTGCGTCAGTGATGACCAAAAGACGACTTGATAACGGATCTGAAATGCGAAAACAAAAGGTGAAACAATGGTCTCTAGAGATACAATACATCTCAAAGACACTAATGAGGTCATGTGACCCTTAATGAGGTCATGTGACCCTTAATGAGGTCATGGAACCCAAAGGAAAACAATTGCAGAAGTGACGCTTCAAAAACAGACAAAAGGAACCTAGGGGAAAAATGGTCATTTACAAGGTAAAAGTGGGTACTACCAAGTACACCATTGGAAAGACAACGAAAAATTAATGACTTTAGACTTAAGAATCACTTGATTCGGAGTCCGGATGAAAAAGATATAGCTAACTGAAGAAACAGGGGTAAAACGGTAAAAAATAGTCAACCCTAGGTCATCTAACCGGTTACCAAATTAGGAGGCTTAAAATGAAGACCACAACACTGCCTATACTCATCTAACCGGTTACGAGACCCCTTCTAACCAGTTAGAAAGCAAAAACAGTAGGTTCAACAAAGAAAACTGGCAACAAGGGATTTTGGGCAAAAATTGGAATTTTGAGGGCCAAGATGACGTTTTTTGGAAAATGCCCCCCCCCCCCTTCCCCCCCCAAAAAAAAATCAAGTTTTCTACTCATCTATGCAAGCAAAAATGAAAAAATACATTTTGAAATACCCAAAATGCCCCTGGAACAGAAGAGGGTAAAAACTCAACATAATGCAACTATAAGTTTTTGTTTCATCAAGAAGGGTATTGCTTGCCAAAGTGAGCATGCAAGTGTATGTAATATGATAAAATAGATGTGCTACAATGGCCTATGGCCTCATTACAATACATTTACAAGTTTTGGCATACTAAGCCTCAAATTCTCACAAATAAGCTACAATGGCAATACTTGAGTTTTAAGAAAAGCATACTTGTAACCTTTCAAGTTAATGGCCCTTGGCCTCATGTCAAACATACAAAATGAATACTTCCAAATGTATTTAGATACACATTACAAGAGGGAAGCCATCTTAGCTTCTAAATTACCATACATCCATGGTAAATCAAAATATAACATCCAAAAGAAAAGCATGCTAAACAAGTGCATGTCCTTATACAAAAAATGCTTCAAATGGCTCATGAGTCTCTAAGGATGATGAGCATCCAAAAACATTGTCTCTTTACCCGTAAAATAACCCAAACCACTAGAGTGAGTAATCAAGTTACTCGTAGGAAGAAGCATATGCGTATACCATAAAGTTTCAATATCATTGCAAGATCAATATAGACGAATACAAGGGAGCATTCCTCTTAACGTCTATGTTCAAGGTGTTCTAATGGATCATCTTAAGCTAACTTAAATAATTCTATAATAATGCAATAACAATATCAATGTACTTAACAACATCAATTCGTAAATAGCAAAAATTACAAGTTACAATTAAACATTGGTTGCCAACTTGAAATTGAATGCGAAATCAATTAGTGGAAAACTTGGACATCACGTCTCGAGGTAAACCAAGATTAATACAGTTATTTCGGGAACTAACCCGCTGGGAAGACCACCCTAGTGCGCACTATCTCAATTGGGGAGAACTCATACCTCCCGCACTAAAGCCAAACTCTAGCCATGTCACTTGTAACAATGTCCCAAGAGAATCCAAAATATATCAAGTTCAAAACTTATATACCATAATTTGAGGCATGTAAACCACCTCCCATGCACAAGTATTTTAAAACCACACAAACCATGTCTTAGGGTTCCAAGTCTAGAATGGCATAATAAATGACAAGTTCTTAACATAATATAATGTACAAAACAATATCTCTAACTTATCAATTTAAATCATGCCTCAACAATAAGCTTTATCTTCTAAATCTTAACATTTTAACAATAACCTTAAAAAATAATTACAAATGGTAATCAATAAGAGTATATAATTATCATCACAATATTTATAGTAATTCAAGTTAACAAGACTTGCATATAACATCAATAATTCTACTAGAGTTCTATATCACTACCACATATGAAGATACTAGAATTTAATACACTACAAGGTTATATAATCCTTCTACACAAGGTATATACATATCATACATGCTTATATCAATAAACCCTAAGTCAAAAGTGAGGGTTTCCTATAATATGCAAAACTATCATATTAAAAGCATGTACACAATATATATTAAACCCCAAAGGATTTTAAAATACTTAAAATATACCACCCCTACCTCAATAGAGAATTGAATCTCTATAATCCAAGCAACCAAGCTCAAAATGGAAAACAAGTTTAGGGTTAATGAAGAGGAGAGCAAGATGAAACTTTTGTCTTCCAAGGTCTAATGTCTAGGGTGAATGGAATGAGGTCAAAATGAAGAAGAAAGCTATTAACCAAGCTTTTCTCCAATGGTGGCTAGGTTATGGGTTTTGAAGAACAAGTGTAAATAATAAGGAAGAAGTGAAAATGGTAAGTGAAAGGTTTAGAAATTCTCCACTCACTATGTGTTCTTACACTACCTCTCTCACACACACAATGCAAGACTTATTTTGGTGCCTACATTTGTCACAAATCCAAGGCTCCTCCCTAGGCTTAACCTAAGTCTACACTTGTCAACCATCTAAGCCAACAAGTGGTCCAATCCTAGGCCAACAAATGGGTGAACCTCCACCCTCCATGTGTCAAGAAATTAAGCTTCCAAGTTACTCCACCCCAATGCCAACAAGTGGCACCATGAGAGTGTGACACTTGTCACACTTTTTAGAAATTGTAAAAAGGTCCTTTTTGAAAATATCTTTCGAATTAAATAACAAAATGGTCCTTAAGACGAAAAATAATTATTTTTCATAATTACACTAAAACCCCAAAAAAATCAAGAATATTTACAAGAAAATATGCATCAATGCCCTTTATGAAAAAGTAAGCAACTAGAATGTATCTTCTACAAAAGTAAAAATACAAATGTCATAGAAAACAATCATTGTGGACGCACGCAAAGCCGATATCAAATCCGAGCACAAAAAGTGAGGTTATGCAAAAAAAAAAAAAAAAAAAATGATAAACGGGAAAAAGACGAAATAGGGAAAAAACAAAAAAAGAAATCTCCGAAAAAAAGAAAGGAGGGAAAAAAACCGGGTCATTACAGAGGACCTCTCAGATAATATCATGCTCAGCGTCCATAGAAGATGGCTCAGACTAGACTGATGTAGAAAATGAAGAGGATGAAGAAGAAGACTCTACCACTAGAGATGGAGGAGCTCTCTGTACTCTTTTCCTAGCAAGAGTTTTTCATCTACGCTGCATCTGCAAAAGCAACAAGTATAAATCAGTGCACAGGTATAGGATAAGGTAGAAAACTGATAAGAAAACACAAAGAATGCTTGAATCAAGTAGAAACAGAGATCGAATATATAAATAGGATAATACTTGTGCAAGAAATGATTAAGAAGGCTTCAGAATTAGCATTCAACATGCTTCAACTAGATAGGATAGGTCAAAACACAATCAGCAATGTTGTGATGACATAGAGTGTAGAAAAGTCACATTTGGAACATTTTGAGCAGAAATATGATCAACAGGTCAAGCATAGGCTGTGATATGCATAAAGGATACAACGTGCATTCACAAACCTAAAACTCAAGTGGATGCTGCAATGACATGACAAGTAGACTCCAAGATGACATCGTATCAATTCCTAGCAAGAATGTCTACAAGTACAACAGTTAAGATCAAATGGAGTAAGCAAGATAACATGGAGCATATAATCATGGTAAATGTCAACCTAGGACTCAAGAAACATGCATTTCATGTAATAAAGACTAAGTGGATTGCACAGTTACAAAACACTACAATCCAAGGCATGTTATGACAGACAAGGTCAAGAAAGAATCCTGGACATGGTATGTAACTAGATGGAATATATTTGAATGATGCACAAATAACAACAACTCCAGACAAAGAAATATCCTGTACTGCAATGCAACAGAATCAAAGTCCTATGATCATTTATGGCTCGTGACTCCCTCTAAGGCTTAAATAAAGTAGAGAATGGTCAATAGCTGGAAATACAAGAAGCTTACCATCTGGAAGTCAAAATCTGGATTGGAAAGAACCTCGGTCATAAGCCCTTACTTGGCTTTTAAGAATGGATCAGAAGTACATGATAGCAAGACAATGGCATATAAATAGATACTTAGCAAGATAAAACAAACATATCCTTATACTCGGGTCAAATGCATTTGAAAATTTAAGTTCAGTTTAAAGAGTGATTCTAAGGCCAAAGAACAAAAATCATACCCAAATCATGCATTTTAAACTTCAAAAATCCACCACGCACCCCCAAACTTATTCAAAGATCAATTCCAAGAAGATATGTCCAAAATATGCACTGAAACTCTCAAAAACTGTCAATGTGATACAAGTGTGTGCAAAATGGTGTATATACAAGCAACAAGTTGCAATTATTCCCAAAGTACACACAATTATTCTAAGAGGAACACATTTGACAAGTTCGAAGTTAGAGGAGCAACAAAGGAATCATATGACTTCAACAGTTTGGTTTGGAATGGCAATTCAATACATTTTTCAGACAAGTTCAAAGGCACTTAGCAAATGCAAATGGATGGAAATCAAATGAAACAACTTCAACTCAAACAAGGGCATTTTGGTCAACTTTGGAATTTCTCAACACTTTTGGGGTAAAATTAGAATTTTAAAAATTTTAGAGTCAAGACATTCAATTGCATTGTATAAAAGCATCATGATAAGAATCATGCAATGAATGAACATCAAAAGAAGGGAATCATGCAACTGGACTTCTTATTTTGAAAATAATGTTCAAAAATTTCCTTTTTAATCATTTGAAACCCAACAAGTGTGATCACAAAGCATTTTAGCACTAAAGATCATTTTACCAAAACAATGCACTTGAATCATAAGCAAAAGTCAATTGGAAGTCTAAACTTTTCAAAGGAGTCCATTTGAAGCACTTTTGAGCATTTAAGACAAGACTTTGCAAATTCAAGTTCAAAAGTACAATTTCAAGTCAAGTCATGCTTTCAATCAATTAAGACAATTTAAGACACATCCATGCATTTCATATAGCAAAAATAAGCAAATGAAACAAGACGGGACTATGCTCACAACATTCAAAATGTAATGCCATTTCAAGAAATTTTGCAATTTAAATCAACAAACATCTTTCCAAATTCATTGAAATTTCCAAGGGATGAATTCAATCAAGAATCACACATTTGATTTTCAACTTGAGATTTCAAAACTATTTTTCAAAGACTTGGAAATTTTCTCTTTTAAAATTCAATTCATCCTTTTAACTTTGAAGAACTCTTTTCAAGTTTCATCTCAAGTTTCAAAAACAAACAACATGCCTTTTGGAATTTTAAAAACAAAGTTAAAAAATTTTATGAAAATCCGGCATGGTTTCCCTTTAAAAATGGACTTCCCAAAAATTTTCAAACACAACAAATTCAAGCATTTCAATCATTCATATACAATTAAGATCAATTTCACATTCAAATCAATCTCATTCAATCAACAACAAGGGACACTGCCCACAATACCACACAATCCACATTAAAATTTGCCCATTCACCTTCTATACTACAAACCATATTCCACTACAATTTTGCCCATCCTCCTTCTAACAAAAGTCCACAGTCCATGGTTCCATTTTCTATTCATTTTTATTATTATTATTATTATTATTTCCAACAATTTTTTTTTTTAAGTTTTGATTTTGCAATTTTTTTTTAATATTCTATTTTTCATTTCAACAAACATTTATATACAAAAAGGAATAAAAATAAAACTAATTAAATAAAACAAAATGCAATAAAATAAAAAGAAAATTAAAAATAAAATCAAAGGAAAGGAAAAATCACTAACCCGACGCACAAATGAGAAGACGAGATGAAAATGAGGAGATTCAGGATGAAACGAGGAATTTCCGGCCTAACCGTGGCAGGAGGAGATGACCGGAACCTTGCCAGAAGTTCGCCGGAAAATTCAGAGCTCGTCGGAGCTTGAAATTGAGGTCTTATTGGCCTAAATCGGTCAGAGATGATGACTATGATGGAGACCAAGAGATTATAGAGCTAAAGATGAACAAGCTTAGCCGAATAGCCAAAAGCTTTGCCGGCTTCAATGGAGGTCGACGGTGGCTTAGGCCGTTTTGGTGTTTGTCGCGCGGGAGAGAAGAGAGGTGGGGTTGGGTTTGGTTATGGAAAGTGAGAGATTGGGAAAGAGTGAGATGAATTGAGAGGGAGATGGAATCGGGAGGGAGGGAGGGAGGAGTTAGGGTTTGGTGCCGAGAGAGAAGAGAGAATGAGAGGGAGAAAGAAAGAGAAAAAGAAAAAGAAAATGAAAAAGAATGCGTATAATGCCTACTTGTAGTGTATGTAATTTTAATATTGATGCATGTTTTATTTGGTGGCATGGAGGATTTGCCAAAGGCATAAATATACTGTCTTATTAATTATATAAACATAATATATACAATAGAGCATAGATGATTTGCTATTTTGTAAATGTGGATATAAACATATTTAAGGAGGCATTGATTAGTTGTCAAGGCTTAAATAGATTGTCATTTAGACAACGTAGACAAAGCTATACTCATAAAGGCATGGAGGAGTTGCCAAGGCATTAATATAATGCTATGTAATTTAGATAATTAGATAATTGTCTATCGGTATGGTTGTGATTAGAGATATATTAAAGTTCAAGTCTGAAGGTTAAAAATCCGCAGTTTGGAGAGTTATTTGTTATCTATTCTTTCCGGTTATTTCAAAGTAAGACATTATTCTATTATTTATTCTTAGTATTTTTTTTTTATGGATTATTGGGCATTGGATTTTGATTAAGGGGTCCTTGAGTTACGGGATTCCCAATTTGTAACCTTAGAGAATATTTAATATGGATTTTAAGTTGGAAATTTATTAATGGAATTTTAAAATATTAGATTTTCTTTCAGCGGTTTATTTATTTATTTTTATTCTTTTTGAAATCTATGCTTATTAAATATTAATTGTTTTAATATCCCTTGATTTTTTAGTGTGGACTTGATCAACCTATGTTTCTGAAATTATGGGGTATCACATAAGGTTTTTCCCTATTGAGAGAGTTTTCCTTGTATACTTTGTGTTTATTGTATTTGCTTATCAACATTGATCTTGCTGAGCTGGAGAATGTTTTAAAATTGACCAATTCACCCCCTTATTGGTCCAACAATTGGTATTAGAGCTTTGGTCTACATTATAAGGTTTTAACAAGCCTGCAGTTGATCCTTACAATGGAAGAACATTAAGTTACCAACAAGGCACCAGCGTTTGATGGTTCCAACTATGATTCTTGGAAGACTAGGATGGAAGCCTTTTTAATGTCTCAATCCTATGATGTTTGGCATGCCACTATATTTGGCATTTTTGTTCTCAATCCTATTAATCCTTCTGCAAATAATAGAGTTGCATTGGCCAATAATGGAAGGATTAAATATGTACTCTTTTGTACTCTCAAGCAACAGGTGTTTACAAGGATAAAAAATTGTAAGACAACTAAAGAAATGTGGGATTCTCTTAAGGTTGCTTATGAAGGGAAAATATAATCAAAGAGAACAAGATACAACTTTTAATGGTTCAATATGAAAGTTGTAAGATGGAGAAAAGGGAAGCTATAGCAGATTACCTATTCAGAATCAATGAAATAGTTAACAACATGAAGGCTCTTAGTGAAGACATCAAAGATTCTGAAGTGTGTAAGAAGATTTTGAGGTCTCTAACCACTAGATTCAATGCCAAAGTCACCATTTGAAGATAAAAAATGTCACTGATGAAGATTGATTATCTTTAAACCTCTCTCACAGCCTATGAGATGAGAATTGGTGTCCCTACTCAACACAGAAGATAAACTGCTCTTAAGGCCAAAGAAGTTATTGAAGAATCTGAACTAAAGTCTGAAGAAGATGATTTTGAGGAAGATGAAGTAGCTTACTTGGCTAAGAAGTTCAGAAAATTCAAGTTCAAGAAGAGGACACAACCACAAAACCTAAACTTTTATATTTGTGGTAAGTTTGGTCATTATGTAGCCAACTGTCCTAATTCAAAGGGTTAAAATCAGAAGAAGAATGAAAGGTTTAACAACAAAGGAAGATTTAGAAGAAAAGCTCTTATCTCTGATTGGGATATTGCTCCTGAAGAAGACAAATCAGAAGAAAGCCAAGAAGATGAATGTTTGTTCATAGCTATTTTTGAAACCTCTCAAGTTCAAGGTGAAGTGGAAGAAGATAGTGGTTCTGAAGTAGAAGAAATCCTTGAAGAATGTGAAAAAACTTGCTATGAAGTGTGATCGACAAACGTCTCATGTAAAGAAGCTTAACTTAGAGCTGCTGAGGTCCAAACAATTACTTACAAAACACTTCATGCTAAAACTATCAACAATGTGTTTAATCTCTTTGACTATGTTTAGTCTTTTGAAGCCTTAATCTAACAAGGTGTGGACTACCAAAAGGTGTAGAGAAGAGCTTTCACAGGCTCTTAAAGAGAGATCACTAAAAATAGCAGAGATTTGGAAGTATACTACAAAGCAAATTGGCAAAACAGGCATTGGATACATCTGTGATACTGCTACCAAGATAAAACAAACTCATTCTATGTTTATAAAGGCCAAAACTGGTGAAGTGTATGAAAAGTTTCCCATTATCAAACCAACAAAGTCTAAGTATAACATACTTGACAACACATATCACACCCTGTGGTTCAACAGAAGTGACTTTGTTACTACAATCGTGAGAAATTTCAAGGTTACTAAGATGTACATGAAGAAAATAGACTTACTTTAATCTCAGATAGTAACAAGGGCTCATTTGTGAAGACTAAGATGACGTGGTTACCTAAGAAGCTGAATTCAGTAAGTTTGTTAGTTTACACAGCCTTTAAGGCTTGCAATGCTAATGTATGTTGATAGTGGTAATTCAAGGAACATGACTAGTGATGGCTCAAAGTTTCTATCTTTGAAGAAATTTGATGCTGGTAATGTAGTCTTTGGAGACAATCAAAAGGCTAAGGTTCTAGGCATTGGCACTGTGAACAAGTCTGAAGAACTACTTGAGATCACTGAAGTTTTATTTGTTGAAGGCCTCAAACACAATCTTCTTAATGTGAGTTAATTATGTGACAGTGGAAAGAAGGTTATTTTTTTATAAGGATAAGTTGTGGTTGACCTTAATTCAGATAAAGTTCTTTTCTCAGCCCTAACATCTTCTGGAAAGTTCTATACAATCATTGAAGAAGCTCAAACAAATCAATGCAACTTGACAACCTTTAATGAAGCTATTCTATGACACAAGAGATGTAGGCATGTTCATTCAATAAACATCTCAAAGATTGTGAAGTTAAAAGCTGTAAAAGGCTTACCTGAACTAAAATTTAAAGAAGATCACACTTACAAAGCCTGCCAATAAGGGAAGCAAACCAAGGTTTCATTCCTCTCCAAAGAAATCAACACCTAAGACCGCTTGATTTGATTCATATTGATCTTTGTGGCCCTACCAAAACTATAAGTATTGGTGGAAGCAAGTACTTCATGTTTCTCATTGATGATTTCAGTAGAATGGTATGGATTTACTTCTTGAAAGAGAAATCTGAGGCTATTACATACTTCATCCAACTTTGTGAATCTTGTTGAAAATGAAAGAGGATGCACTATAAAGAGACTTAGATCAGATTTTGGCACTGAGTTCACTATGAGGGAGTTTGAAAGCTATTGTGATGTCAAGTGTATCAAGAAGGAATTCTCAGTTGTGGCTACACCTCAACAAAATGGTGTTGTGGAAAGAAATAATAGAACAGTTCAAAAAATGAGGAGAACAATGTTACTTGAAAAGGGACCTGTAAAGGGTTTTTGGGCTGAAACACAGCTGTCTACATTATCAATAGGGTTCTTCTTAGACATAATTCAACCAAAACTCCTTTTGAACTTTAGCATGGAAGACCTGCAACAGTCTATTACTTCAAAGTCTTTGGCAACAAGTGTTACATTCTAAATCACATTGACAGCCTTGGAAAGTGATTCAAAGACAGATGAAGGTATCCTCTTAGGATATTCATGTAACGACCCGGTCATTTGCCTTCCTTTCCTTTTTCCTGAAATTTTACGAATGAATTTTTTTCGTTTAATTTTCTTTTCTGAGCTCTATTTCGCGTCGCTTAGTGTCATCTCGAGTGCTCAGAATTGGTTCCTGAGACTCTTTTCCATGGATTGACAACTTCCTTTAAGGACTGAGTTATTTTCACATTTTTCGTTTTTCGACACTATGCGTTATTTCATCCTTTTCCCTATTCTGTCTTATCTCCGTTTGTTAGTTTTTGGCATAACCTCACTTCTCATGCTTGGAGTTGGTTTTTGACTTCACGTGCCTTCATCTTGAGTGGTTTCCACGAAATACGTATCTTTACTTTTGCAAGAAAGTACTCTGGTTGATCCCGGTGTCCATAGGGGCATGGATGCAAAGTTCTTTGAAATTATTTTCTTTTCTTGGGGTGTTTTTCGTAAATATCTTTTGAAGATATTTTATTTTAGGGGTTTTTAAGAAAATATTTTTGGAAGATATTTTCATTCTGGGCCATAAGTGCAGTTTTCACTTTTTGGAGGGGCCATTGTGCAATTAATGAAAGTTATTACAAAATGTCTTGTTTTGAGCCTAGATCCTCGTACGGGATTCATTTTCATATTTCATCAAGTTGTGTACTCTTGGAATTTCCTCCTGGTCGATGTTTTCCAGTTTCAGGGTTTTTGGCCCCAATTTTTGCAAACTTGTTTTGGGCATAACTTTCTGCTCGAGACTCAATTTTTGACGCTGTTTCTTCCGTTGTTCATATTTTATCATTTTGAATCTTTTTTGTTCACAAAGTTTTGCCATTTGAGTGCGTCTTCTCAAATTTTACTTTTTCAGACCCGGCGGGGCCCGTTCGGGACACTTTTTGAGATTTCTATAAAAGGGGGGTGAGATATTTCATTTTTCATCTTCTCCCCTCTTCATGCACGACCTGGAGCTCCCATGGCAGCCCAAGGGGTGCTACCATCTTCTCTCTCCTCTTTTGGTTCACTTTTCTTTGATGGAAAGTTTTCGGCCTTAACGTTTGTTGTTCCCCTCGCCGTGCTCTACCTTTCCCCCTTATTAGAATTCAGTTTTGACCATTTCTTGAGTTTGGTTTTGAGGTCAAGTTGTGATTTTCATGGGGCTTCTTGCGGATTCTTGTTCATGGTGTTGTCCCCGACAAAACCTCTTGGTATCGTCGAATTCGGAGCACTTTTATTTTGGTGGGCCTTTGGGATTTTCATCTCAAATTGAGGTAGGAGATGTTCTAGATTTA